GAACTAGAACTTTCGTTCCAAACAGATGCAAAGAAAGAGCTGAGTTATATCTCGCAGGAGCCTACCGCTCGACCGTCATTTCGATTGACATCGCGAGACTTGACCAGGGCGGAGTGCAGGTAGAAGTTGTGTGGCATGACAATGGCGCCAATAATGCCCACTGCCTGCTCCAGTTGGGGCCAACCGCAGTTTGGACAGGCTGGCACGAAGAAACCCTCCAAGACCTTCGCCTGATTCGGTTTTACAACAACGTACTGCAGGGCAGGGGAGGGGGCGGAGGAAGAGAAGGAAATAGAACAGGTGTTAGGGCAAGCGCAGCATGCAATGACCCGAAATAAATTTCTCATTTCGAACAGAAAAAAAATATATTATGGTTGTACAACTTTTAGTGTTTTTTGGTTTCCTTCTACGGGCCAAAATGCCCGTGATTCACGAATCAGACCCAGGTCCAACGGGTCTGAAGGCTGATCATGCATAAACTTGTAGGCGCATAGCACAGAAGGCCAAGAAGATACACCTACCTCCAGCGACACCGAAGGTTACACTCGAAGAAAGATTAGCTTCCGAATTAAAAAAAAAGTCGTTGATGCCCGAATAATCTTGAACCGGACCTGTCTTGACATATGCAGGCTAAATACATATTCTCCATGTAAGAAACACCAAACATTCCTGCATGCTCCTAAGATACTATATTGTGCTCTCACAAGATGACAAAAGATATAGCAGCGCATGTTTCATACTTTACACAGAGCATTATTAAGCGGAAAGATGCCATGATATTTGAATACAAATGTTACTGTCTTTGAAAATTTCATAAGCACATACTACTAAAAATCCACCTTCGACCCAAAGTAGAGCCCCAAATTAATAGATAAACGTTGAAAACGATGGCATGTGACTGATACTGCTGTGGTCGCTGGTAGAACTAGATGACTGACAAAGAGAAGATGGGTTGAAAGGGCCATTTCTAACTGGTTAGCCCTCATCAATCGACCAAAAAACAAACCGCAGGTTTGAGGTACCTGTGGTCAGCAGTCACTGAGTCGCTCTGTAACTGCCTGAGGGTCTTTCGATCGAGTCCGAAAACACAACGGCACGACCGGACCCCGCGACCCGGTCGGTAAATGCATTTGAAGCATTGAACAATAATTATAATAATCGTATAGTTAAGGCTCAGGGGTCCCGTCATTAGCATTCGTTAATCACAATACCCTTGCGGGGCTGTAGAAAGCATTCTGGCAAAAGTATTTAACGATCAAAAGACATTTTCGTAGACGAATCGAGGATCCGCCTACACTGAGCGCCAAGCATCATCAACAGGCGGATTAACAGTGTCTTACAGTTGCCAAATTACGTGGTATTCGTAAATTTTCACAGAATGTTATGAGTTTTTCATTCCCCCATAGTTAACGTGTCTTGCCTGGATAACCAAGTCACAAAATGAAAACCAAGAGAGTAATATTTTACCTCAAATGATTCCCTAGTAAACGGAAGGTCGTAAATTGTTGAGCAAATAAACCTATAATTTGTGCGCACTGGTAAGGATTCTGTTACTGCACATTGACATTTGTCCTAAATTTGAAGCAGCTAGACAGTTTTTTTTTCGTAAAATTAATCTTAGGCATATTCATTTGTGAAGTTTGTTGTGGACGCTCATTTTCTCCATAACGAGCTCACGTGCTTGGGTGCGGCTATAAACATGACCCAAACAGACAGCCGCATTAGACGGCATGTGCAAAAACTCACTACTTCGACAAACCTTTTCTAAAGAAATATCTTATTTTGAAGGTAAACAAGGCGAGCAGAATCCGTGTGTAAGGAACAACCGACTGAACACACTGTGAGTCTTAGATTGTTCACCACTAGGGTCCGTGCGATCAAGCCTCATTCCAACGTATTTCAAACAATGTACAACAAGAGGAAGAAGCAACAGGCAGTTCTCGTTAAACCCTGTTGGAATACACACTCGAACTTTGGGCTGTTTAGTACCGGTTGCTACTTTAAATTGCGTGTAGTATGAAAACAAATGTCTCCGAAAGATTAACAAAAGGACTATCTTCGAATGAAATTCTAGTGGTGCTGTTTTATTCACACGTTTTTTTGTTGCATCCACAGTCCTTCTCTACATTCAAAATGTAACTGTACTTACAAAATCCGATTTGTTACACGTTTCGGAATTTTACGCTTTTCTAAACAGGGCTGGCATTTCTAAACAACGCAATATTACACAATATGCCTTCTTTTTTGAGTACGATAGTTTCTTGACTGCTGTAATAATTTACGAGTAGCAACGTAGACTGATTGGGCGCAAGAAGAAGTTTCTTCCTAAATTCATGAGATTTCATCAGACAGAAAATTGACACTGTAGTTTACATTTCCTGTTCAGAACGACAAACCACCGTGAGAAAGATTGACTCAACGATCAAAAATTCCGGAGACGAACCGCCGGTGCGCTATAGCAGACGGACGACGGCCAAAAAGCCAAAAATGGACTTTAAAGTCTCCTTTGTCCCCTTGATAACTTCTTTTGACACCAGGTCACCACTCTTCTTAGGTCACACCGAAAAACCCATTCACTGCTAAGAGAGGAACAAAAGGCCCTAAGAGACTTAGAAACAAACGCTCAAATAGTTATTCTACCCGCCGACAAAGGCCGATCAACGGTGGAGCTGACTACCAAAACAAAATATGTACGCTCCTCAGTGATCGAGAGTCTTACAGAGTCAGCGACGCCTCCGGCCTAAAGCCACTACATAAATCTACCAGTCCCCTATGTTGTTTTAAGAACCTTATTATCCGGGAAAGACACGGCATGGAACAACCAGGGCCGTCAAACAGCTCCACGGCCAACGTGTATAGGTCTGAAACAAATCGAGATGTAACAGGGACCGATAGTCCCGAACGCACATTAGGAAGAAAACAATACACGCGACACGGTGACAGACAGGGTGAACGAGGAGGCCGATGGCGAGGCGCGAGACACGTGCAGTGACTCAGACATGATTGGTAGAACATGCACACGGAGAAAAAGAGCGGCAGAAAGACGAGGACCGTGAGTCAAAGTATCCATGGGTAGACGAGACACCTACCCGAAACGTCAGACTTATAATAAACGCCTACCGGAGAACGCCCCTTTTTCTTCTGATTTCAGTCTGTTTATGTTATCAGTCACTCTGCGACTACTTGTGTGGATCTAGATC